TGTGAGAGCGCGGGCGCGTGCGCGTGCGTGTGTGTGTGTAGCTGTGTGTGTGAGTGTGCGTGTGTATGTGTGCGTGTGGGCGTGTGTGTGTGTCTGTGTGTGTGTGTGAGTGTGTGTGTGTGTGTGTGTGTGTGTGTGTGTGTGTGTGTGTGTGTGTGTGTGTGTGTGTGTGTGTGTGTGTGTGTGTGTGTGTGTGTGTGTGTGAGTGCGGCTGCGCCTCGCCGCCGGCCTCGCCGCTCGCCCACGGCGGCTGGCCGCTCTCGACGACTTCGCCGTGGACAACCGGGAGGGGGGCAGGGGCGGAGAGGGGTGCGGAGAGGGGTGCGGGTAAGGGTGGTGCAGACGCCGCCCCCACCACCCACCACTCTCCTCCGCCCTGCACCTCCTGCGCCACCTCCTTGCCTCCTTCCGCCTCCCACCACTCGCGCTGCTGCGACGCCGCCTGCTCTGGCGCCGCTTGCACCGCTCCTTCCGCCTCCCACCACTCGCGCTGCTCCGGCGCCGCCTGCACCTCCTCGCCTCCTCCCCCCGCCCAGCCCGCCGGCGCCGTCTCCCACGTCGGACTGCGCAGCGCACCGCCGCCGCCGCCACCGCCGCCAGCCTCGGTCGGCGAGGCGAGTGGCGGTTCGAGCGCGTGCGGCGGGGGTGCGGCGTCGCTGCCGGCGCACAAAAAGGGGTTGTTCGCCGCCGCTGCGTCGCGCCTCGCCGGCTCCTCCTCCTCCTCCTCCTCCTCCTCCTCCTCCTCCGCCCGCCTCCTCGCCCGCTCCTCCTCCACCTGTCGGAAGGTTCCGAGAGGGTTCAGAACAGGGAGACAGGTTCGAGCGGGAAGCGCAGTGCGCGCGAGGGAGAGGGGGCGTGTGCGGCGGAAGAAGGAGGAGCAAGAGTAGCAGCAATAGTGTGCGGTAGTAGCTCCTCCTCCACCTGTTCGCGGAGCCGCTGGCGCAGCTCCTCGGTGTGGTCGCGACGGGCCTAAATGAAATAGAATGGAGTGAAACAGAATGAAATTAAATCGCTCCTCGGTGTGGTCGCGACGGGCCTAAATTAAATAGAATGGAGTGAAACAGAATGAAATTAAATAGCTCCTCGGTGTGGTCGCGACGGGCCGGCGCAGCCACGGCCGCCCCCTCCCCCTCCCCCTCCCCCTCCTCCGCCCCCGCCCCCGCCCCCCCCGCCCTCGTCGCGCACAGCGCGGCGTACGCGACCACGCACTCGCGCAGAGGCGCGCAGACGAGCCGACGTACCTACGGAAACAAGAAGTCGCCGCTGCGAGACACTCAGCGCGGGGGTCGCAGGCGAGCCGACGCACCGAACGCCCGCCCTCGCCCGCCATGCCCGCCGCGAACGCCTCCAGGTCGGCCGCGATCGCCTCGTTGGCCGCCGCCTAGTCTCGGTCAATCTCGGGCGATCTCGGGCGATCTCGAGAGATCTCGGCCAGTCTCGGGCAGTCTCGAGCGATCTCGGGCGATCTCGGGTCCTCTCGTGCGATCTCGTGCGATCTCGGGTCCTCTCGTGCGATCTCGTGCGATCTCGGGTCCTCTCGTGCGATCTCGTGCGATCTCGGGCCCTCTCGCGCGATCTCGTGCGATCTCGGGTCCTCTCGCGCGATCTCGTGCGATCTCGGGTCCTCTCGCGCGATCTCGTGCGATCTCGGGCCCTCTCGCGCGATCTCGTGCGATCTCGGGTCCTCTCGCGCGATCTCGTGCGATCTCGGGTCCCTCTCGGGCGATCTCGTGCGATCTCGGGTCCTCTCGCGCGATCTCGTGCGATCTCGGGTCCCTCTCGCGCGCCGCCGCCTTGTCTGCCACCTCGCCCGACAGCCGGGCGAGCTCGCCTCGCTTCTTCTCCAGCGCGGCGCGTGCCTTCTCCGCCGCGCCGCCGCTCTTGCCCGCCGCGCCCGCGCCCTCCGCCGCCGCGCTCAGCTTGCCGACCTCCGCCTGCGCCGCGTCGCGCTTGGCGGCGAGCCCCCTCCGCGCCTAGAGAAAAAGAAATCGCTGGGCGGAAAAGAAACACAAGGGGGAAAGCTCGGGCGAGCCCCCTCCGCGCCTTCTCGCGCTTCTCATACTCGTCTGCACTAGCCACCCACTCCTTGAGCAGCAGCCTATTCGGCGAAAAGAAACCTGGTAGCCAATAAAAGAAATACATGCCCACCCTCTCCTTGAGCAGCGACCGGAATTCGCCACACGCCGCCGAGAGCGCGACGCACGCAGAATGGCACTGGCCGCACCCGCGCGCCGCCTCCGCCTGCGCCTCCTCCGCCAGCGGCACCGCGCGAAGCCTGCGCGCCGCCTCCTCCGACTCGCACCGCGCGGCGAGCAGCTCGAGCGCGGCTTCCTAGGGCGAGGGGTGAGGGATGAGGGGTGAGGGGTGAGGGGTGAGGGGTGAGGGGTGAGGGGTGAGGGGTGAGGGGAGAGGGGTGAGGGGTGAGGGGTGAGGGGTGAGGGGTGAGGGGTGAGGGGTGAGGGGTGAGGGGTGAGGGGTGAGGGGTGAGGTCACCTCCCCTGGCGGCGAAAGCAGCGCCTCGAGGCCCGACTTAGCAAACTCGTCGAGCAGCGCCGCCGCCGCCTTGCCGCGCCGCTTGGCCAGCGTCCACTGCACCACGTACGACGCGAACCGCGCGCCTATAGAGGGAGAGACGGACTGTCGAACCGAAACACAGGGCACGCACGGACGACGCGAACCGCACTCGCCTGGAGGAAACAATCGCAATACGCAAAAGAAACACAACCCGCGTGCGCACGACGCGAATCGCGCGCCCGTCTCCTTGGGCGCCTTGCGCTTTGCGGTCGGGCAATAGCCGCTCGGCAGCTGGCCCCCGCGCAAGACGCGCGCAGCGCCGGACGCAAAGGAGCTGTATGCCTCGCGCAGCGCCTCCGCCGCCGAGGCCACCGGCCCATCCTCCGCACGCTGCCGCGCGTCCGCAGCGGAGCGCAGGGCGGCGGGCTGCGCCTCGGAGGCGATCCGAGCGAGCTCCTCTTCTGCGTGTCGCAAAGACACCTCACCCTGACTCACCTCCGTGGCCGCCTTCTCCTGCGCGCGCTGCGCCGCCGCCTGCGCCGCCTGCCGCTTCTTCTCGTCTTTGAGACTCGCCGCCTTGCGCCCGTCCGCCTTTGCCGCCTCGCCCGCCGCAGCGCCTCGCCGGAGCGCCTTGGTGGCCGCCTCGCTCGCCGCGCTCGCGTCGCGGAGCGCGAGCTCAAAGGCGCAGACCGCGTCCAGCCCCTCCTCGCACAGCCGCCTCGCCTCGCCACGAAGGCCCGCCGCCGCGCGGCCGATTGCCGCGTGCTCTGCCGCCAGCAGGTCGTCGATGGCCGCGAGCTGCGCCGCGCAGGTGTGGAGCACGCGGCGGCTCTCCTCGTCGCCGCAAAAGGCCTCGTGGCGGCTCCACTCGGCCAGGTCGGGCAGCAGGAGAGGCAGGTTGCCGCTCGCCGCCCCCCGCTTGCGCTCCGCGTACTTGGAGTAGAAGGACGCCGTCGTATCGACCGCGTCGCGCAGCCGTCGCAGCGACAGCTTTGCAGCCGTCACCGCCGGGTCGATTGGTAGCCCGGCCACCTTCTTGTCGTGCGCCCTGTCCGGGTCGGCCGAGAAGCGCGAGACGGTCCTCGTCAGCGGCCCGCGCGGCGATGGGCCGCGAACGGGCGCGGCGGCGAAAGGATCTCCCGACGTGGAGCTGCGCTCCGATTTGCTGCTCCGAGAGAGGCGGGAGATGCTGCGACGCATGCACACAAACACACACACACAGATGGTGTGCCCGGCAAGGCGGCCCACGAGTGGGCGAAGGCGGCTCTTTCGCGACCAAAGAATTTCCTCGCTTACTGGAAGCCGGCAGAGCAGATAAAAGTCTTTTTCTCGCGATGTCCACCCCGTCGCGCCGCCGCTCGCGCCGCCTCGCCTCCGCCGCCACAGCCGCGCCTTCGTCAAACACGCCGCCGCCCGCCCGCCTCCTCGACCTCCCCACCGACCTCCTCGTGCGCGTTGTCTCTCGCTGCGACCCCGTCAACATCGCTCGCGTTGCGGGCGTCTCGCTCCTCTTTCACGCCTCGCTTGCGGAGGAGGGCATCCACTTGTGGGCGCAAGAGCGCGGCTACGAGCTTCCGGCGCAGCCAGAGGGCGAGAGCTGCGCCATGCGGTGGCTGTGCTATTCGGCGTTGCTGCGCGAGGCCAACCCGCCGGCGAGGGCGGCGGCAGGCGGGGATCACAGCCTCTTCATCGTCGGCGAGGGGCGGCTCTCGTCGTGCGGCCAGGCTCAGAGCTGGCAGCCGGGACTACTCGGCCACGGCGAGGGCGTGACGCGGCTCAACCTCAACACGCCGACGCGCCTCCCGTCGACGCTTGAGCGCGCCGTGAGTGTGTCGGCAGGAGACAACCACAGCCTCGCCCTCTCCGCTGACGGTGGCGTCTGGAGCTGGGGCTGTGGAGAGCGAGGCCGGTTGGGCCACGACGACGAGCTGGACGAGTCGCAGCCAAGGACAATCGAGGCCTTTGCTGGCCGGCGCGTCGTCGCTGTGTCGGCTGGCGTCGACCACAACATCGCCATCACCGCCGACGGAGCCGTCTGGAGCTGGGGTGAGGGAGGCGGCGGCCAGTTGGGCCACGGCGACGAGCAGGACCAGCTGCTGCCTAAGAAGATCGAGGCCTTTGCCGGCCAGCGGGTCGTCGCTGTGTCGGCTGGAGCAGTCCACAGCCTCGCCATCACCGTCAGCGGCGTCGTCTGGAGCTGGGGCAATGGGTACCACGGCCGGCTGGGCCACGGCGACCTGCAGGACCAGCTGTTGCCCAAGAAGGTCGAGGCGTTTGCCGGTCAGTGCGTCGTCGCTGTGTCGGCTGGGGACGACCACAGCCTCGCCGCCACCGCCGACGGCAGCGTCTGGAGCTGGGGCCGTGGAAATTTTGGCCAGTTGGGCCACGGCGACGCGCAGAACCAACTGTTGCCCAAGAAGGTCGAGGCCTTTGCCGGCCTGCGCGTCGTCGCTGTGTCGGCTGGAGGCATGCATAGCCTCGCCATCACTACCGACGGTGCCGTCTGGAGCTGGGGCCGTGGAGACGCCGGCCAGCTGGGCCACGGCGACCAGCAGCACCAGCTGCTGCCCAAGAAGGTGGAAGCCTTTGCTGGCCGGCGCGTAGTCGCTTTGTCGGCAGGGCTTACCCACAGCCTCGCCATCACCGCCGACGGCGCTGTGTGGAGCTGGGGCTGGGGAGGCGACGGCCGACTGGGCCACGGCAACCGGCAGGACCAGCTGCTGCCCAAGAAGATCGAGGCGTGGGCGAGCCGGCCGCCCACGCCTGCTTCCTCTGACGGAGAGGATAGCAGCGGCGGAGAGGGCAACGATTCGGACGAGTAGGAAGCAAGGCGGGTAGCGGAGGAGAGCGAGTTTAGGCGGCTCCCGTGGTGTGCCTATTAGTGCCAGTGCGCGCCAGTCCCGTGCCTACGGTAGTGTCGTGCGAGGGAGTTTCGTTGTAAAATAGAGCATATCACCCTCTCTAAAGTTCTCACCGGTAAGCAAATAGATGTTTCTTATGTGAAGAGAATCAAAACTGCATCGCGGTCTCGAGATCGCCTCGAGATACACATTTTGATGTCATCAAGCGCAAACACACCGTCGACGGCCGGCAGGGCGAGCGTCCGTTCAAAGGCGTGGAGGGAGATGATGGAGGGTGGGAGGTAGCGCAGGAAGTGGCCGAAGCGGCAAGTCGGTCGGCAGGAGATGGCGAGCAAGAGGAGTCGTGGCTGCATTTTGATGGGCAGGTTGGTGGCGCGAACTAGTACTTGGCGGTAACGCTCGATGTCGGTGTCGAGTATGCCGGGTAGCAGGTCGGTGGCGGCGACGAGGTGTTGATTTCCAAAATTGAAGTGCGAGTCGGTGAATGTGGTGCCTCGTGGGAAGAGGTGTGGGTAGTCGGAGGGGCGGAGGCGGTGGGCGGGCGAGTCGGCTGGAGCGGGGGGCGGGCGGGGCATGAGGACGACGGTCTTCCGCAGCGCCAGACAGACGCAGTCGCAGGCAGTCGACAAAGTGGTCTCGAGCGAGGCGAGGAGAGAGAGATTTGTGTCTGTTCATCCTCGCCGTGTCGGGGAGATAGAAGCGGGCGTCGTTTTATGTCATCAAAAGAAAGAAAGAAAGAAAACGGACAACCCAAGGGAGGGTCATCAAGGGCAAACAAGCATCCGCGTAGAATTCTTTTTATGTCATCAAGGGCAAACATGCTCGAAGCTGGAGGGCGGTGAGGGAGGCGGTGGGCTGGGTGGTGGTGATCTGTGATCTGTAAGGGTCCGCCCGCAGGCGCATTTTGTATACCGAGGCGGTGCCCGGTGCCGAGCGTAGGCAGAGCCCACAGGTCGGACCTTGAGATGGGTGGTGGTGGCAAGGGCGGCGATGGCGTGGGCGGTGGCGGCGAGGGTGGCGGCGTCGAGGGCGGCGGTGGCGAGGGCGGCGACGGCGAGGCGGTGGTGGTGAGGGCGGCGGCAGCGACAGTGGCGGCGGGGAGGGTGATGACGGGCCGGGGCGGCGGCGGCGAGGGCGGCGGCGGGCGGTGGCGAGTCGGCTATTGGGAGGCGGCGGGCTGGGCGGCGGCATTGGCGTTATCTCTCCTCGCAGTCCTTCGCCTAGTGTCGGCGGGAGATCGCGTCGAGCTCTGATGTCATCAACGCACTCGAAGCTAAACACACTCGAATATTCGACCGACAATGGCGAAGAAGGGAAAATGAGCGACGCGTCGCTGCCTAACCAGCCGCCGCAGCCGGAGGGCGGGCCGTCCGCGACGGTCGAGGAGAGCCGCGCCGCGCTGCTGGCTCACCTCATCTCGGAGGTGCGCCAGATCAACCAAATCGGCAGGGTGCAGTCCGAGGCGCTCCAGCGGACCGCCGGCCGGATCAACAGGATGGAGGAGAGACTGAACCTGCTCGAGCAGTCCAACAGGGTGGGCCTCGTAGAGACCACGGTGCAGTTCAACACCCTCTCCAACTCGATGGGCCTCCTGCAAACGGCGCAACAGTTCAACGAACTCGACTCGCTCCGTGAGGCCTGCGGTGCTGCTCCCATTGCTACCGCCGCCACGCCGGGAGGCGAGTCGGCGGCGAGCGGCGGCGTGGGCAGCATGCTTCCGCCGCCGGTGCCTCCGACGGCGCGTGCCTCGGGCGGCGATTGCGCCGGCCCCTCCTCCCTCTCGCCAGAGGCGGAGCCTGACGCCGCGGCCGCCCTCCACCAGGGCATCTTGCACATGGTGTGCACGCACCCCGGACAGACGGTGCTTGCAGGGGGCTGAGATGGGGATGTTCCGCGTATTCATGCTAAGGAGCCAAAGAGATGGGGGGGTGCGGCACACGCACCCCACCGTTGGCCCTGGCGTAGTTCGCGTCGGCCTCCAGCATCCCGTCGAACCAGGGGAGCAGCTTTTTGGCGCAGTGATCCGAGTGGATGACGACCGGCACCTTGTACAGCGGCGCGACGGTGCGGGTGTGGAGCGCGAGCGAGACGGAGCCGGCAATCGTCGCCTGATCGCGAGGGGAGGGGAGGGCTTCATGAGCCTGCGCTGGCTA